TTAAAAAGAAAGCATAAATCAAATCATATGTATTTAAATATATGTATATACCTATATAAATATATCTCTTATTCAATTTAATATATTTGAAAAAGAAGAGTAATAGTAAAAGAAAGAGAATATTTATATATAAATTAATCTAGGATCTTAATTGAATATAGAGAAATAGAGAACGATTAAATTGTTCGAAATAAATTAGAAGAAATTAAATTCGGAATTCTTCGAATTTTGAGATTCGAGAAATAAGCTTCTAATTCGGAATTCTAATTTCTTAAATCGATTTCAAATATCAAGAATCATATTCTTCTATCAATCAATTCATATTTTCTGAATTCGAATAATTATCAAAATATTTCTTTAGCATCATAAAGCTATATATATTTATTGAATATCGATAGGATGATTGAATTTATGTCATCCTTTATGATATGATAATTTATCAAATCCATATTTTTCAATCTTCAATTAACGCCAACCGTCGCACCAACCTGGCGTGTATAAAGATGCTGATAGAATTTGAGATGAGGGGATGGCCTGTTTCTCAGCACCTGGCTTTTGCTACCAGTATTGCTAGTGTTCCATTTGGCAAGCTACTCGGAACAAGTTGATTGAGGAACGAGACTGCAGTGCCCAAATCATCCCAAATCCTTCATACTATGGTGTCTTGACGCCCTTGACAGTTGGTAAACTAAGATGCGGACAACGACGCCAATGGTGGCCCCCACTGCTGCAGATGTTCCCAAGGCCTCGTCCTTGCACTGTGGCAGCCCCAGATCAACTCTTCCCGTGGCATGACTCGGAACCTGCAACCCTGCCGATCCTGCCCCTCGTCGGTCGCGTTTTGAGAATCATCATCGGCCGTCTCTCCTCAACACACTCCGTTTTCAAGGCCGACTTCTCATGAGATCCGCCCTGGCCGGACATCTAATCCGAGCTCCCACGCCAAGGGCATCACCCACGGAAGCTGTGGTCTCTGCAGCCAGTGCAGCAAGAGCCTGGGCAAGAGCCACAAAGGAGTGCATCACCACGCAAGCTCGAAGACCACCTGACAAGGTGGGGAGAGAGCCCCTACTAAAGCCTGCAACCCCAACCAAGGCGAAGCTCCAAACAAGCCTTTGACTTGCCGAATGGCTTGCTTTGTACTCGCGCATGCTGAGTGCTGGAACACAAGCAGCTGCAATAGACAAAGACAGCGTACGCTCGGCCGGTTGGAGCAACCAGTCCGACGGACCGTTGCCATCAACCACTTGCCGGGAGAGATGACAAGATTACAAGACCAGAAGGTTTTCAAGTACAGCGCATTTGGCTTCATGACCTCTACAAGAAACCGATGGCAGCCTTGACGTAGTCGCCCAGAGTTGGAGAGCTGACCTTCTTGTCACTTGCAATTTCTACAGCCACCCCAGCAAGCCAAGCAGGGCAAGCAAGCTTCGGATCTGATGCTGAATATGGCTCACGGAACTAGTATTCGTCACTGCAGAGAGAGGTCGCGGTTGTGTTGCGTTATGTCGTTGCACACCATTGCCAGGTCATGCCCTTTTCGCGGAAGCTCCGGCATGTTTGAAACTGGAACTACTGCAAACGGGTGCTTCGCATCTGCTTGTCCAGCGGCAACGCTTTCAAGCGCGCTTTGCGCATCTCCTCATGCGGTGCATGGCAGTATTGACAAGCTGAACCTTTGGGGCATTTCCCCGAGGAAGAGGAGAGGAAGATACACGGCTGGCATCCGTTAGGATGCGCTGCGCTACCGACAGACAAGCTCTGGAAATCTTGCATGTATGTGCCGTAACCTCCACTCAATGTCTTCTCTGAAGCACCAGACGAAAAGTCTCCTGCAGCTCGCTAGCAGGCATCACGGTAAGCTTTCAGAAAAGGTTCAATGCTCAGGGTGGAGGCTCTCTACGCCAGAGTGATATTATCCTCCATGCTCTCCATGGGCTAGGATCCCAAAACCGCCGCTCCTGGTGGGCGCAAAGGCACGGCAGCTCCTTGAGAACTTTCCGCATCTGCGCTGGGGTCTGTTGGTTTCTGAGGCCGTTCATCCTTAGTTGGGTGCAGTGCTGAGTGCATGTTGAGTAGCTCAATCATGATTCGGAGAACTCAAACAAGCGCCGTGTCGCTTCCAGAGAAGCGCACGTTCCGAGTGTTCAGGTTCTCGCTCTCTCTAGCAGCGTCAGGCAACAGCAGCACCCTCATGAAGAAACACCACTACCAGGCTTCGGCCTTGTTCAAGCTGCATGCTACGTGGATATGCAGCACCATCGAGGGCTCTTGACCGGTTGTGCATGACAGCAGCGATGCGAGCAACGCTCACTGCACGCTTGGAAATCCCGGCTAGTTGTGGTCCATTGGTTCTTTTGGGGTTTGGCCTTTGCAGGAGCGGAATGTCTGCCAGGTCGCCGGCGATGTAGCCCCATCCTGACACGGCGCTTCTTTGGATTGGAGGCAACGACGGCTCCATGACAAAATGCACCCATTCGCGCAAGAAGCAAGTGCCTCTCGTGTCCGAACGGTTTCCATGCCTTTAGAAAACCGAGGGTCTTAGTTTCTTTCACGACCGCGGTTTCATTCGAGACCATGTGAGCTACCGGGTAAACTATGATCGTGGCTGGCAGGGGCGTTAGTAAGCAATGCAGGTCTGCTTCACTTGGTCCTGGCAGTCTTTCGTCGCGGGGCTTGTCAGCATGCGTGATGGCGTGTTGCCGATTCTTTTGTCCTGCAATTGAGCTATGTAAGATTTCCGTCATGGACACTGGGCAAGAAGTTGTGCACAGGGAGGGCCTGGCTTTGAGCTACAGTTCTTGCATGCAGTGGTGGGTTCAACACGTCAGACTTAGACACTGGCCTCTCATCATGTCATCATGTACACTCGGGACAGGGGGGCCTTGCCGACTAGTTGATTTGATTGGGCTTGGTACTTGCAGTGCACCGGCTCAAAAACCAGGCCGAACATTGGCTTACTGAAGCAGTAACTCCTGACTGGACCGCAAAACACAGTAGAAACAGTGGGGGGGGTTGTTAATGGCTGCCCAAATAAACCGGGGTGAGGTATCAACTTGTTTTAGAACATCAACTAGCAACTCTCTTTACGGAATCAAAAACTTCCCAAAGATCAAAAAATTATTCTATATACTTATCCCTGTATCGAAAACGTTGAATCACAGCAGTATGAGGCGGACGGATTTTGGGTGTCGTCCTGAATCATCCTGTCAGTATATGGTCGAAAATGTTGAATCGCAGCAGTACATGGGGGAATGGATTTTGGGTGTCGTCCTGAATCCTGCCAGTTTGTGAGGGGACGCATAAACGCCGCGTGGCCCCGAATTCCGCCAATATTTTGGAAACGGCATTTTCTTTCACCCGGAGCCTGCCAGTACAGGAGAGCAGGCTTTCCGGTCGCGCCCACCAAATCCACCAGTACTTGGCAAATAGCAGAGAAACTCCGAATCCTCCTCCTGGGTCCCGTCAGCACTTGGGGGGAAACCTTCGAGCCCACGGTCCATGCACGTCTTAAACAAGCGGGGAGTTACCGGGCTAGAGGGGGGGGCGCACCCCGTTGGCAACACGATGCCTCTCCATGAATTCGCCCCCTCCCCCGGTCTGGCACCATAATGCCGATTTTAAACAGCGATACGATGCCTGTATGACGGTGTTTTCGGGGAGCCCGGGGGTTGGGGGCGGGCGAAGCCCCCTCCATTTGGAAACACGATATCTTTATATGGGTTCTACACAAACTGATATTGGCACGATGTCCCCTAGAGCAAATAATATCATGTCTGAATATTTATATCTTAGTAACTGATTAGTAACGTATGATAACAAGGTCACATCACATAAAAACAGTACAATGCCACTTGAGAACAATAGCGATACATAGACGATAATCAATCTAGAAATGGCTCTCCAGCCCTTCTATCTGTAGCTTTTTAGTTGTCTTTTCTCGCATGCTATATTGTTGTAATGTTGTTTCTTGTGTGGTTTTTCGTGTAATTATTCTCCCTTTCCGTCTTTGTACCTTTTCCGTTCCTTCTCTATGTCCTTTCCATGTCTTTCCTCTTATTTGCCTGCCGCCCCCTCTTTGTTAGTATTCCTTTCCTTTTTGGGTTTTGTCAATCATTCGTTCGTTCTGTCTTTATTTCTGCTATTCTGTGTTGTTGGTTCTTTTTTTCGTTGTTTCCGCTGTTCCTTTCTGTAAGTCTTTTCGTGGTCATTTGTTTCGTTGTTTGCACTCTCACTGTCGGACTCGCCAGATGAGGTCTCTCGCTTCGCAGTCGGGACTAATTTGGCAGTCCGTGCATGTGCCCACAAGCCATCATCGAAACGATGCACCAGATGGTTGGGACGACGCTCAATGCACAAATCGCGCCAACAAGCATTCTTTGCTGCCGACAGAACATCATTAATTCGGCCGCCCTAGTGTTGTCATGTGACAACCCCTCTACAAGTGTCCCGGCGGTTCAACATCACTGCCATGAGAGCTTTACACTTGTAGGGTTGCGTAATCCAGAACTGACACTTCGCATTCACTCGCCGCTTCATGCTTCAACCCCCGCAGTGCGTGCAACTTGCCGCAGAACAAAACGAGCAGCTGATCCATCGTAGCCGCACGCAATGGACTCAATGGCTCACGCAGATCTGGGACTTTCTGAAAAAACTTATCCCAGCCTAGAGGTGCTGGCAGTTGTGCTGCTCGCTGTACACTGCGCTGATCATCCAAACCCTCATCCTGCATAATTCGATCGATCGCAAGTCAGGAAGTGTACGAGACCTGCTTCTTCAAACATCATCAGGCGTACGCCATGTTTGCTACGATCTGCTACAGTACCCTGTGCGAGCTTTCGAAATGGCACCGGATCCACGGCCAAAGTCACCAACCTAGAACGTCGCAAGACAAAGCTTGGAAGTCGCGAGCGATACTATGGCCTTGAGCCAAAATGGCTCACTCACTCACTGATACGCAGCTCCATAAGGCGCTGAGCGTTGCTCAACTTCGGGAAAGGGTTGCAACCATCTGATATCAGAGGCTGGCAAGGGCTGACAAAAGATTGGAAAATTTTAGGAGGCTACACCACTGCCGCATAGAGTAAGTAGGCTGAAATGTCCCACGGGCGCATGTGTACCAGGGTATTGGTGTTGGGGCTCAAGAAATAAATCAAGGTGGGGTCTATTACAGGGTTCGTAGATAACGGTCGTTTTACATTGATTGACCAGCGTTCTTTACATTAGCATTTCGTCGGAGACATATTCGATGACATATTCGGTGAAGCTTTCGGTGACAACTGCAATATCTTTTCACTGAAGCAGTTCCGTGGACTTGTCGACGACATATTCGATGAAATCTTCGTTGACTTGTTGATCGTAAAAACGCACTATCAGGTGGCTCTCCTTTAGGCTTCGTTGACCTTTGTTTCAAAAGGGGGGTCGCGGCGCATGGCCGTGTCTGCTATTTCGCTCCAAAGCGCAAGGATGGTTTCGTCGAAGTGTGCTTGAGGGTGTAAGAAAGCATATGCTTCTACGAATGTGTCCAGTAGCCAGTTTGCCCTCGGTTTGCCGACCCTGCGCACATGCTCGCTTCTTGGAATGTTTTTTCCCGGTTGAAACAGTATTTCCCGCATTGGGTCATCATGTGGTGCTCTCGGGATATGGCCTAATAAGGTAAGTTTTTTCTGTTTCCATTTCACTGATAATCTAACGTACTTGAATTTTTGCATTTGCCACAAAGTGTCCACAGCTCTTTGGTTTGTCCAGCTTCTGTCGATATGGGAAGGTGGTATATTGAGCACACGCCGGAACATTTTTAGTTGAAAAACGTCTATTTGGTCTTGCTCACGTCGCGTAAGTTGAATAGTTTCTAAGCCGTATACCAACTTGTTGAAGACAATGGACTCCATCACTCGTAGCTTCCATTTGATTGTTGTGCGGGCTTTTGACGAGAACAAGCCTAGTTGTTTGGCGACTGCTGTGGCTTCCCCGATTCTACACATAACTTCTTGATGGTTGTCAATTGCGTCTGTTAGAGTTGCTCCAAGATATTTTGCCTGGGTTTTCCTCGGAACGGCCGACCCATCCATAAATTTGATAGAGGACTGTTTGCGATTGATAGTGAGATTGATACTTTTTCAAAATTGAGTTTCATATTGTAACTAGCTGACTCTACTTGTGTTTGCTGCAGCAGCTTGTTTATCGTGTGGGTGTGCGTTCCAAACAACAGTGTGTCGTCGGCATAGAGAACTTCTGCATAGCTAATGCCTGGTATAGGTTGTCGCTGCCTTGGTGTGCACAAAACTGATTTGATGTCCTGGAAGACTGCTGTCATCAGAACTCCACAAAGATATGGTGATAATGGGCATCCTTGTCGTATTCCTGAGTTTTGCGTCTGATACTTGGAGCGGACGTTGCCTTTTACAACTCTAAACTGTGCGTCCTCCTCACTGTTCTGGATAATGCTCATGATACGTTGCGGTATACATAATCGAGATAGTACTTCAATGAGTTTGCTCTGGTCTACTTTGTCAAGAGCCTTTTCCCAGTCTAATAATTCTGCCTCCTACATGGCTGAGCGAGTCGCGAGGTAGGGTTTGAAAGGTTAAGTCGGCAAATTCATCTCAAGCTAAGTTTGTATGCTTGAGTTGAGCATGCACTCTCCGCTCCTGTTCAGCAGAGCAAATCAAGGTTGTCATTCAGCATCACTGGCAAAATGCCACATATTGCACTTCTCTCCCTCGCGGATTCGAAGTGCATGAATTCCCATCCTCTTGTTTTCATTGTTACATGGGATGTTCTTGCACGCAGTGTTACTAGTTACAAATTACAAATTTTGTGTCAGGCGCTCAGGTGTTCAGCTTTCGCCCCAATTTCAGAAGTCAAAGAGGTTCTCTGGATCCCATGGTTCAAGTTGCGCTGCAGGCGGAGCCCAGATGACTTCCCAGTAGAGATCCCAGGTGACAGAGCTTAGTACTCACTGATGACATTCCCAGTTTGAAATTCCCGGTAAAAGTTCAGTGAATATCAATTACCTCGCAAGGTCGCTGATATGCACCAAACATGCAGCTTTGTCAAACTTCATCAGGGCAGTGGTCCAGTGTATTTGTTCAGCTAGCAACCAACTGGGGCATCCTTCTTCTCACCATGCTGTTTGCTTTCCGCATCACTGACGTGCAAAGGCACCCTCTGTTTGGTCCATCCAGCCATATCCATTCTCGTGCCAACTTGCCGGTACTGATTTCTTCCCATCTTTTTTTTGCTGCAGTCAGACGGCCCAAGTTGGCGCAGTGGCACATCTCTTGTCACTTCTTGTTGGTGCCATACCCGCAGAACATGATCATTTTGTCTCCAAAGCCAGGGATGTCAGACCAGACTCCAAAGTCAGGGATGTCAGACTAGTTTGTCTCCAAGCCAGGATCATCAGGTCCATTCAGGACGAGGCGGCAATGGTCCAGGGTAGGGTAGCCAAGTCTTTGGATAGTTTGCGCGTGCGGCCATGAGTCAGCGCTGGCGACGGGTTAGGGCTTCGGGTTGAAAATCAGCCCAAGTATCACTATCCTGGAATTTCAAAAATCAAAACCAGCCTGAGTGCGTAAGATAGAAACGAGGGAAACGGGCTTTAGATAAGGTTCGAGACAGGTTGAGGCCATACGCATACCGAAAGCTGAGAGATAGTAGCCCTAGAACCTGAGGACCAATATATGTATACAGGGACATATTTGGGGGAAACTA